TTCCTTCCTATATGTTTCCTGTTGTCATTCTTCATTCTTTCCTAACTCTTCTTGCTTTCTGAACTTTGCCCTTGGGCAAATGCTGCCTTTTTGATTTTCAATAGTTGCTTGTCATAAGAAGTACTTAACTTCCTTCTTGTTACTGTTCCCCTTACAAACCTGTCTATTGTTTGGCTGAAAATTGAGCCACGAGGGTGAGTTCATTTCCAGGCATGAAGGGTGACCGAGAGCTACAGGCTCAGGGGCTTCTCCAGTGTCTATCTGTCCAGAAAAGCCTGGTCTTCTGAGAGCCATTCTTGAAGTCTCCATCTCTCCCTTCCACCATCCAAGTCATCCTCACAGACATGACTCTTACCAACATTTCTCTCCAGGACTGTTGGAATAGTCTCTTAACTGTTTCTGCATACCTATCTCTGCTTCCTCCTGGTTTTTTCTCTAGTAGCTAGTGCGATCCTTGAAAGCATAACTCTGATACTGTCACTCCTGTGCATGAATCCATACTTAACATCTTCTATTGTTAGAAGAAAGGTTGAAGCTTTAATATGGCTGACACTCAAAAAAGCAGAGTGGACATTCAGTCAGAATGCCTTTCCACAGCTATTCAGATTCTTAAAATGCTGAAATTCTCCATTCCTCTTGGTCAACAGCCATTGTCTCATTATCTCAAGTGTCCCCCACTTCTGCTGCCCTGGCCAATCTGTCCCCTCCCCCAGGCTTTCTTTCCTTAACCCAGTGAATAGGGCTAAGTGTGATGAAGCAGGTACTAGCACACACATGTTCATCACACACAGCTCTGCCTTGTGGCACATGTTCCAGTTGTTGAATGTAAGGTCCAGTACCAGCCTAGCTTCACCTCTCCCTACTCCTCTGACCCGTCTGGCCCACTGACCTTCCTTCAGGTCTCCATGTCTTGGCCTGTCTTAGAGACTTTACTCAGGCTGTCCTTTCTGACTGGAATGTTCTTGCCTTCCATCACCTCATTGACCCCTACTTTTCTTTAGTTATGATCCCTGGGTGGCACAAGTGGTTTTCACTTGGCTACTAACCTAATGATTGGCAGTTTGAACCCACCCAGGCAGCACTGTGAAAGAAAGGCCTGGAAATCTGCTTCTGTAAAGGTTGTTGTTGTTTTTAAGTGCCATCACGTTGACCCTGGAATCCTGGTGTGGCACTGTGGGTTAATGTGCTGGACTGCAAAGTTGGTTTGAATTGCAAGGTCGGTGGTTCAAGCTCACCAGCTGCTCCTTGGAAACCCAATACAGGGTTGCTATGGGTCGGAACCGACTCAATAGCACTTAACAACAACAAGTTGACCCAGTATAGACCTCCTGGTATGGTGATGCAGGATTAGCACTGAACTGTGAACCACAAGGTTGGTGAATCAAACCCACCAGCTGCTCCTTGAAAATCCTGTACAGGGTCACTATGAGTCGAAATTGACTTGATGGTACTTAACAACTTAACAACAAAAACAACCTAGGGTTTCGAGGCTGTAAATCTTTATCTCAAGGATTGGCTAGTGGTCTTGAACTGGAAACTTTGTGGTTCACAGTTCAGGGCTTATCCTACAGAGTTACCACGCTCCCAATGTAAAGATTCTTGTTTGGTGCCATCAAGTCAGTTTTGATTTATAGTTACCCTATGAACAACAGACCAACAGTCAAGAAAACCCTGTAGAATCCTTCTACTCTGTCACATATGGGGTTACCATGAGATGGAACTGCCTGAATATTAGTGGGTTTGTTTCTTTGTTTTTCAGTTTGATTTTTCTTTAGCTCAATTATCTTTCCTCATGAAACCTTCTCTGAACCCAATTCTAGGTCATGTATTCGCATAAAGTTCTTTTGCTTTTCCTTCATGGTTTCTAACATAGTCTGTTTTCACTAGCTCTCACTGCCACAAGAAACCAATTCAGAGAAAATAAAGACTATGGTGTTATTCTATCTCTGAAGTCCATTAGTCCAGATCCACAGGGAAGAGGTTCATGATGGCGCTAGATCCCTGGGCTGGGAGCTTCAACAATGCCTGATTAAATTCAAGAATCAGGCACTCCTGCAGACAGAATGGTACACACATGTGTATGCGTGTCTTCTTTTCTATAAGCATAATGATAATTGTAGTAATAAATACCGACCAAAACCAAACGCACTATTATCAAGTCAATTTTGACTTGTAGCAACCCTGTATAGAATTTCCAAGTCTATAAATCTTTATGTGGACAGGATGCCTCATCTTTCTCCTGCAAAGCAGCTGATGGGCTTGAACTACCTACAGCACCACTAGGGCTCCTTAGAATAAATAGTGTTGTTAGGTACCACTGAGTCAGTTCTGACTCATAGTGACCCTGCAGTGTAGGATTTCCAAAACTGTAAATCTTTATGGAGTAAGAAAGCCTCATCTTTCTTTTACAGAGCGGCTGGTGGATTTGAACCACTGACATTGCATTAAGTAGTCCAGAGCCTACCCTACAGCACCACCAGGCTCCTTATAATAAATATTGGTAGAACACAATTTACGTAATACAGAAACTGCCCCTGAATATTCAGGTGTCTCTTATATATGCCAAGCGTTCCTCTTTCCACGCTACTTAGAATAATTATTTCTTATATGGCTAGCAGCATATATTCCTTCTACAAAGCATACTTCTGAAAGTGTGTTACTTATATAAGGTTCAACATTTGCTATATTACCACCATTATAGTCTACAAATTCAAAAGATTCAAACTAGAAGCCAATTCTCAAGCCATAAGCCCAGGACAAGAACTTGTTTTTATCTCCTCTAAACAACTAATGTGTGTTTTAAAGAGAAGAATGCTTCACTTACCATTATAAGGCTATTTTAAAGAAAATGCACTAATGTGTTTAATGAGGGTATAAGCTCAGCTACTGCGGTCTTCTTCATCCCTTTGCTTTGCACTCTCCCCTCAAAAGCAAAATCAAACCAAACAAACCACCCTGTAAAACCAGAAGGAGAGTCAGGCAATGCTGACAAGCTCCTTTCCGGACAGACTGTGTACAGCTTCCTCTCACCGTGGAGGTCAGATCTGTAAGACAGATGGAGGAGGCCCAGAATTTGAGGAGCTGGGGAGGGGATGGGTATAGTACATCAGAAAGAAGGGGACTTTGCATATAGCAAATGCTTTCCTTCATTCTCCCTCTGAAATTGTTTTCCTTGCTTGCAGCCTTTTCTTCTGTGAAAGGAGGAGGTTAGCCTTGGCCAGGACTTCAGTCTCAAGTCTTTGATGGGAACCTCCCTTCTGTCTCTAGCAGGATGTAGAGCTACTTGTCATTGGCATCATGCCAATGGAAACAGTGTCAATAAAGTGCAAATGATCCTTGGTACCTACTGCTCTCTGAGCCCAAAATGAACAAAGGAGGTGCTCTGAGGAGAGAAGGCAGAGGGACAAGCCAGATACACCCAAACCTCTGGACTCACGAAAATGAGACCAATCAGGAAAAAGGCATTCCATGGGTATCATCAAAACCTTCCAATTTCACACAGAAAATGAGCAGTGGCTCAAGTCTTATGAACGCTTAGTTGTCCCCATTTCTGCTCAATTGATTCCTTTGAGATCTGGAATCTTAACCCTTGGAAGGCTTCGGAAGACTTAACACTCCCCAGCAAAGGAGCTGCACTGCGGAGAAGCAGTCCTCTGTGTTTCTCTAGCCACAACACCGAACAAAGAAATCTCCAGAACTCTAATCTCTCTGCTTCCAGGGACACATTCCCACAGGCTGCTGGGAGAGTGGAGAGAGCAATCCCCCTCACCTACTGGAGATGGGGTCTGGGATTGGGGCGCTTCTTAAAACCATCCAGAGTCCCCTCTTCTGGGCCAGTCTAATTGCAGGAATCTCACCCCATTCCCACATTTTGCTCTGTGTCTTCCCAGGAAAGGAAATGAATTCAGGGTGTCAAACTGGCTAGCCAAAAACTAATACATATGTTTGCTAAGAATCACAACAAATGTTCCCAAGTCCATGTATGTGGGTGCTGCTGTGTTAGGGTAAAAGAAGGGGAGACTTGCTGTCCGCCCCACCCTGATCTAGTTGGCATACTTGAGTCAAATCCACACAGATTCATTCCCCCCGTGAATTCCCTTCCCATGGTGTCTGGATTCATATCGCACTCCTATTTCTGTTTTCGATCACACCCTCCACTCACCCCATGCTCTCTGAACTTTTAGCTGTGAATTTAATACCACCAGAAGACCAACTGAATCCAAGTGGTCTTGGTAGAGATGGCTAGTGGTATTTTGCATTTTCAGCAGAGAAGGGTAGGGAAGAGAGGTTGAAAGGAGACAACCCAAGGAAAATGTCACCTGTGTTCTTCGAATCTGCCCCTGGCGGCTTTGGAAAATTCATCCTACCCACAAACCGACATCATAATCCTGTTCTCGTTCTAGAGTGTGATTTCCTTTCTATTCAGGTAATTCCTAGACTGCTTAGTCAAAAACTTGACTCTTTGTTCTCCAACCCATCCTGAATATACTCCATTTTCATACCAGCCTGTCCCCAAGCCAAGGACCTGTAGCGTAGCACCAGAAACTGCAAATACAAGGCTGTTTAAGTCAGATTCCCCTTCCTCAGCACACCGACAGAACAAGACTTCAGTTACCTGTTTCCTTCCCAGCCCTGGCTTAGCCTCCACAAACCTGTTGTTGGACAAAGGATACTGATTGTCACCACTGACAAACACCCTCAAAGGCGCCTTCCTTCTGCCCTGTTCACTTTGAAAGGCCATATTATCTCTGACAGCTGCAGGGACCAACTGCAGCTTCTAAGAGAAGCCACCACAGGGAAGCCACACTTTGCAGGAGTCAACCCTTCTCAGTGGGAGCCCATATCAGCAGGGATGGAAACACCAAGGTTGGGGCCTTTACTAGGCAGAAGCCCCTGGGGGGTTTTTGAGGCCACTGGGAAAAGGTTAATAAAGGCCATTTTAAAGCCCTCAGGTACAAGTTACTCTTCAGAAACACCATGTCTGTCTCCATCCCACTTACCTGGTTACAGGTGTTAATATCTACTCCATTCCGCAGGTGATCCAAAGCTTTGTCTAGGTTACCTGATCTGGCTGCCCTCAGAAAGCTGGTAGCAGCATCGGCCTGTGAGGAAAAACAATGAATTGTGAGTGTCCTCCTGTGTTCACAGCCCCATTCTTCCATTCAAGCCACAGACTTGCAAAGGACAAAGGCCAAGTTAGCAGTCACTGTGCCCTCCCATTTTTGTGGCTGTGGCCACAATATACCCAGAGTAGTATGGGTACCCTAGAACTCCTGGTTGGACTGCCCTTGATTCCACAATGTAAGACTGCCCCAGAGGCCAAGACTCCCTTCCTTGTCATTAGATACAAGACCCACTTGGGAAATCTATGGTCTCGTCTCAAGATCTTTAACTTAATCACAAGTGCAAAGACCTTTCTCCAAAAATGATAAGATTCACAGGAATGAACAAAACGAAGAGAAGACAGAGAGAAAGAGAGAGAGCAATGTGAAGATGAAGGCAGAGATTGGAATTATGTAGCCATAAATCAAAGAAGCCAGCAACCACCAGAAGGTGGAAGAGACAAAGAACAAATTCTGCCTTTGAGCCTCCAGAAAGAGCGTGGTCCTGTAGGTACCTTAGTTTTGGACTTGTAGTCTCCAGAATGGTGAGAGAATAAGTTTCCTGTTTTAAGCCACCAAGTTTGTGGTCACTTGTTATGGCAGCTATAGGAAACTAATTATGAACATTCTTACATACAGAAGACTTAACATGTACAGCCAACATCTCAAACCATATATCTACCATTCAACTCCCAAAGATTCTGACCTGGGTTTCTGTAGTGCATTCGTCAGTATTATGACCCTCAAGTCTATCTTCAGCTAAGTGTCCTATTTCCTCCACACTCCATGCTATCCTACCCTTCATCCTGCCTCACCACCTCAGGCTTCTAATACTTCTCTAGAAGCACCGCCTTAGTTCTCTAGTTCCACCCTTGCCTTGTTGATCTTCCTAAAACCCTTATTTCATGCCAACCCTCCTCTACTCCACGACCTACACAGCCCTCCTATTAAACTAGTTGACATTCTAGCTCTGCAGCTGCCTGCTCATGACTTACCCAATTCAGATCTCACTTCCCCTTAACGTGGCAGGAAGGCCCTAAATTCTCACCTTCTTTGTGCCCCATGGATTCCCATATTCTGTCTACCTCCAGCATGTTGCCTCATTATCTCCTGGGACCTGAAGTCCACCACACTCTTGATGGCCAATTCCAATCTGCCCTTTCTTCAAGGTCTGAGTCATCTCCTGTCTCCTCCACCATGCTGTCCAGGTACTCAACATTTCCTCCGACAACAATTCCACCTTAAGGTAACCCCACATATGCCAGAGTGGAACTGTGCTCCACAGGCTTTTCAATATCTGATTTTCCAGAAGTAGATCTGCTGACCTTTTCTTCCAAGGTACTTCCGGGTGGATTCCAGATGCCCAACTTTTGTTTAGCAGCTGAATGAGTTGACAGTTTGCACAACCCAGGGAGGCAGCACAAATGGTTAAGTACTCAACTGCCATCTGAAAAGTTGGTGATTCTAACCACCTTGGAGCCACTTGGAAGGCAGACCTGGCGATCTGCTGCGTCTCAAAGGTCACAGCCTTGGAAACTCTATGAGCACTTCTCTGTACACGTAGGGTTGCCATGAGTCAGAAACTCACTAGATGGTAGCTAACAACAACAAAATCCTAGGAACCATTGAACAGGATCTTGGGTTTTAAAATACTCGTACATGTTTCGCTAGTTATTTAATATATGAAATTCCTACCTCCCGAGTCAAATTGCTCCTTAGGGTAAGAATAAAATCTCTTTGAATCCTTCAAAGCATTAGGTGTCTGCTAGGCCAAGGCCTCCCTTGGCCTAAAGCAAGTGGTTCCCAAATTCCTCAGCAAGGCATTTGTGGTTGTGGTGGAAGAAATATTTTAGAAATGAGAATCAGTCAGTTGGTTCCCCATTTCCTGGATTCCCAGAGAAATCAAACTCAAGGTTTAGTCTATCAGAAAAATGACTATTGGAGCCTAGTGATTCAGAAAGTCTGTCTGGATTCAACTGTTAGGAAAAACACTGTATTATTTCCCAAGAATGAGAGTGTTAAAGAACCATTTCTCCCACTAATTAACTATCTTTTGTAGCACAATAATAGGACTCAGGATGAAAACCTGAGAATGGGAGGATAAAAATAGATGCAATATCAACTAATGACACTGTTTGACTGCTCAGCGCACTGACTCGAGGAAGTGAAGCGGAATCTGTCGCTAGACAGAGGTGCAGACAAACAGGGGAAGGGCAGCACCATCTGGACTAGAGGGAGATAACGAGGAGAGTAGGGGCGCATGGTGGCTTTGTAGGATAAGCACTGGACTGCCAACCACAAGGTTGGCGAGATTCAAGCCTACCCGCCGCTCTGGGAGAAAGATGAGGCTTTCTGCTCCTGCAGAAACCCTAGACAAGGTCACTATGACTGTCAGAACTGACTTGACAATACTTAACAGCAACAACCAGTCACTGGAACCAAGAGACTCACAGACATTGTATCTTTTCATCCTCATCACAACCTGTGGAGTAGGCAGGTAGAATTATTATCCCTCTTTCACAGGTGATTACACTGAGATTTGGAGTGGTTGGTACCTTGCCCAAGTCTCACAGATGTTTCACAGAGACTCAATCCAGGTCAGCCTGACTAAAGTCTATGACTTTCTACTGACCTTGACCCCCATGGTACATTCTTAGTCATTTCAAACCTGAGGGTGTCCAGGTATCCCTAACAGACAGGTAGGGGCTGGGTGGGATTACATGCCTTTGCAGTCTAGGCATAGACTACAGTAAATCTATGGCAGACAAAAGGATCTTGGCAGCTCCCCGCAGTTCCTGGTTCTGACCCTGGGTTCTGTGTTAAGGTCAAAACCGGTCTCTAGAAAGGAATCCTCTAATCCCAGTCCTTCCTTTCACTGATGATAAATCTGAAGCCCAGGGGGGTACAGTGACTGGCTTTATCACCCATTGGGGTTGAGTCAATTCTATCTCACAGTGATAGTATGAGTAGAACTGCCTCCATAGGTTTTCCTAGAGAGTCCTGGTGTGGTGCTGGAGGATACGCAGTGGACTGCAAGGTTGATTTGAACTGCAAAGTTAGTGGTTCAAACTCACCAGTTGCTCCTCAGAGACCCTATACGGGGTCACTGTGAGTCAGATCTGACTCAATGGCACTTAACAACAACAGTTTTTATGTGGGAATCCTGGTGTTGCATTGTAGGATAAGCAAGGTCAGTTTGAACCACAAGATTAGAGGTTCAAACTCACAAGTTGCTCCTCAGAAACCCTATACAGGGTCACTACGAGTCTAAACTGACTTGACAGCATACAACCATCACCAATTTTTATGTCAGCAGATCACCAGGTCTTTTCTCCCACAGAACCTCTGGGTGGATTTGAACCACTGACTTTTCTGAAAGCAGCTAAGTACAGGGCTCCTTCTGTAGAGATGACAGTTTTGGAAAGCCTATGAGGCAGTTGTACTCTATTCTATGGGTCACTTTGAGTTGGAATCAACTTGAAGGTACTCTTTATAGAAGCAGATTGCTTATGGTCACACATGAAATTCAGCTGCTAAGACTTAGTCAATTTTTCTTTTTAGTCTTCTCTAGGCATGGAGTGAGTATTCAGGGCATAACTGTGATCCTCAGGGGATCTTAGAGTTGAATTGTAGATAATGGCATCACTCTCACTGGCTACTGTACATCACTCAGTTTCATTCTATAATGTATTTACTGAGGTCCTATTTCAAGTTCAGCATCCTGCTAAGGCAAAGGGAGAGAGAATAAAAAATCAGATTACAGGTCCCTGCCCTCATGACTTGAAAAAATTAAGTGACAGAGTTATAAAAGGCTACTGCATCTGCTGATCCATTCAAAAAGGATTCGCAGAATACTCTTGGGTGCCTGGTAATATTTAAGCAAATAGCTCTAGTTAGACATGAAACCTAGGCTCACCATTTTAGTCTTCCAAATTCGACTGCCTATCAATCTAATTCAATTATCTCCAACTCCAACCTGTCCTAGGTGCAATCTCCTTGTGCATCTGGGAGCAGGTTGTGTAATTCAATAGGGCATAGATTGAGTTTTTAAAATATCCAAATTTTTTCCATTTAAAATGTATTTAGCTGAGTAAATCCTAACTAAAACTATTTCTGGGCTGTAGTGAATTGGTGTCCCACCTATCACCTGCTGGGGCAGCCTAAGAGAAGCATTTCTGGAGAGGAGACTAGACCCAGTTGCTGTCTGGTTAGTTCTAACTCACGGTCACCCTGTGTGTATCACAGTACAACTGTGCTCCATAGAGTTCTTAATGATTGACTTTAAAAAGTATACTACCAGACCTTTCTTCCAAGGAATCTCTGGATGGACTCAAACCACCCAAATGTTCATTAGTAGCCGAGTGTGCTAATTATTGTTGTTGTTGTTATGTGCCGTCGAGTCGGTTCCGACCCATAGCGATCCTGTACAGGGTTTCCGAGGGTGTAAGTCTTTACGGGAGCAGAACGCCTCATCTTTCTCCCGCGGAGCCGCTGGTAGTTTCGAACCGCTGACCTTAAGGTTCGCAGCCCGATTTGTAACCACTACCCTACCAGAGCTCCTGCTAATTATTGTTAGGTGCTGTCAAGTCAGTTCTGACCCATAACAACCATGTGTCCAACAGAAGGAAACACTGCCAGGTCCTGTGGCATCCTCACAATTAGTGTTATGTTTGAGCCCACTGCTGCTGCCACAGTGCCAATCCATCTTGTTGAGAGGAGGCTAAGAAAAACAAACTAAACAAACCCACTGAGACTGATTCATAGCGACCCTATATAGGGTTTCTGAGTCTGTAAGTCTTTACAGGAGCAGACAGCTTCATCTTTATCCTATGGAGCCAACAGTGGCCTTGAGCCACCAATACCTGTACCACAGCACCACTAGGATTCCTTTGAGAGGAAGCTGTTTGTGGTGGTAGCTGTGTGGCATCAAGTATGACTCATAGAGTTTCTGAGGCTATAAATCTTTATGGAAGCAGAAAGCCTTATCTTTCTCCTATGGATTGGCTTGTGGATTCGAACTGCTGACATTGTGGTTAACAGTCCAACTTGAAACCCACTACACCGCCAGAACTACTTTGAGAGGAAGTTACTATTGTTGTTAAGTGCCACTGAGTCAGTTTCAACTCATAGCAATTCTGTATGGGGTTTCTGAGGAATGGTTGGTGGTTATGAACCTTGCAGTTAGCAGTTCAGTGCTTATCCTACAGTGCCACACCAGGACTCCTAAGAGGAGGCTAGAAGAAGCTAAAAGGTGGAACACTGGTTAAAGTGCTCAATCACTAACCAAAAGATCGATGGTTCAAACCCACCAGCCTACTCCAAGAGAGAAAGATTTACAGCTTTGGAAACCTTGCAAGGTCTTTCTACTCTGCTCTATGAGTTGGGATTTTTATTGTGTTTTGTTTTACCAACAGTCTAGTTCCAGGGCCTGTGCTCTACTGCTCATAGGACAAGCATTTTCTAGCGTCCATAAGATTCCTCTCAAGCTCAGCTCTGGCTCTAGGAAGCTTTCCACCTGCCCACAGAGGCTGTGTCTACTTCAACCCTCAAAGTTCAGGAGGAAGTAAGTGAAAGGAATGGAATTCTTCCTGGGACTCACAGTCTCATAAGGGCTACTCTGAAAGGAAGGTGAACCCGGGTTACCTGAGACACACAGACTATTATTAAACTTGCACTTCCTGAGTGGGGTGATATTAACACAGCAATAAATAAGTAGCCCAGGGGGCTCCAATGTCCTGGGAGAGAGAAGCCGGAAGCACACTGTTAAATGCCAGCATGCCTGTAACACATGAGCAGTGAAGCCTTCTAACACACCAGAGGCCAGGCAAAGCTTAGTTTCAGATTAGGTAAGAGAACCCCAGGGCTTCTAAGCATCTGCTTTGGGGGCCTGCAGTGGCCTGAGTTTTCTCCAGGACAAATCATAACCTACTTTCTAAGGTATTTAATGCAGATGGTCAATCTAAAATAATGAGTGGAAAATGAGTTTTTGACATTAACAGAAATGAGGCAACATCTCTTTTCCAAGGAGCCTTGTTTGGGCAAAATACAGTTTGGTTTAACAAAGTCAGTCAGGTTCTGTATCCCTTCCTACAGGTACTGCAGCTGAGACAGGAGACTAAGGTAGGCAGGTGGCATTCTGGATGTGGAGCTATCTGCTCCATCGTGGAGGGTACCTCCAAATGTGAGAGCATGCCACCAGGGTATTCCTCATCCATCTCAGGTCTAGGCAGAAAGAGCAATCAGCTCAGCCAGCATATTTGTGACCCTTGCCTGATCCCATACATTACAGAGGAACTACCACTGAGTGTTTGTCCATGAAGGTGCTTTCATTTGTGTTTCCAGAGAGTTACGTTGTTACAGTTTTACAAACTGTCTCAAAGAGCCCCAGACTAGCACTGACAAAGATGATATGAACAAATTCAAGGTATTATTGAGGAAGAAGGGTAGAACAAGACTGTGTAGGAAGAAGGAGTCCTTAGTTCTGTTTTAATCTCCCAATAGGACTTCAGGGCGTTGAGGAAATCACTGTCAAGTCCCTTTGCTTTCTGCATCCTTGTTGTGAAGGCTGGGTGATGCAGTGATGTGTGGAAAGCCCAGGATGGACCCTGATGTTGGAAAGATCTGGGTGTGAATCCCTCACCGGCAATTGTACAACTTCCTAAACCTCAATTTCCCCATTGCTAAAATGGGAATAACACACACCTCTAGGGTGGTTGTGGGGACTGAAGCAGGCTACGCTATGAGGGCAGAACCCAACTTCCCCGGCACCCATACATCCCCTCTCGGCCCCATTTATTTCCCAATACCTCTGGGCCTCCGAGCCATTCGTGTTTTTAAGGCTTAGGGGTCAGGCGTGCGGCAGCCAAGACTGGGCATCCCAGAGAATCCCTGCGAGGGCAACCCGGCGCAACCCACAGAAAAATCCGCTCGGCAGTACTTTCCTCCTGGGGTCAGGGGACACGGCCTTGCGCGCCCCCACCCCGAGTGCCCCTCGTAAACCTCCGTGGCTAAACCGCACTCCCTCAGGTGCCGCCTCACCCAGGCGGCTCCGCGCTCCGCCGCAGCCACAGGTCGGTTGGTCCCCAGCATCAGCCCCTCCGCGGCGGCAGCTTCTGGGCCAAAGGAATTTTCCTCTGGATCCTGCTAGAAGCCTCGGCGGCCGGCGTGAGGCAGCAGAAGGGCAGCCCCGGCGCGCGTCCCCGCACCCGCCCGGGAAAGTTGGCGCCTGGAGGAGCCGGGCGGCGATCGGCAGAGATGGGGGCCCGCGGCGCTGGGAGAGTGGCCGGGGAGTGCGAGGGGCGCCTGGGACAGAGCGGCCTCACCAGGTCGGGTACTCACAGCAGGGTCTGGACCGGACCTGCCCTGTTGCGCTGCCATGATCCGGCGCTCGCGCTGAAATCCGAGCCCGGCGCCCTCTCCTCCTCCCCCGTTATCTGCTCGGTGGCGCGGGGAGCGCCAGCAAGTTCCACGGCATCTGGCTAAAAATACAGGCTCCCTCCGCTCGACTCCGCGCGCCCGAGACCCTGCGCTCGCTCGCCAACCGCTAATGGGATTTCTTCATTTTCTCTCCATTATTATGTCAGATGGGAAAGTTAATGCGAAGCAATCTCCAGAGAGAAAGCACCTGCTGCCAAGCCAAGTGGAGGGGGTGCGTAGCGGGTGCGGGCGGGGGTGCCGTCCGAGCTGCAGGTGCCGGCCGGCCCGGGGCGCAGGGCAAGCGTCCTGCCGATGCAGACGGGAAGCAGACACGTCCAATGGAGGTGAGGAGCTCCAAGCTGCATGGCGCTCCTGCCCTGCCTCCTGCCACCCCGACTGTCCTAGTGAATGGGCCCCGAAGTCTGCAAAGATGGCTAGGGTGAGCTCAGCAAAGTCTATTTATGCCCCATAACCAATTTGCATGTTTTGAGCTCTTACATCGTGTCCTAAGATACCAGCTAATCAGCCTATTCTAGATTCTGCCAGAGAGCCCATGACGCGAAATGCAGCTGCGGAGCAGGATACGGGTCTGTTAGATCTGTTACTACCGTCTCCCTCCTTCCTCAAATCTGAAGATGTTAATGAATTGCCAACAAAGACTGTGGTCCGTGGAGGCAGAACAACCAGATTTCTGGGACATCTTCGCTTTTTAGTGAGGTCATTTCAGGGGCAGATGTCAAAAGTATGAATGTCGGTAGTTGGCAAAATCGGGGGTGGGGAAATGCAACAACAAAGATTGCTCAGAGCAGACGCAACTGAGTGAAATGATCAGCTAAACAACGACGACACTTAACGCCCCCCCTGACATTATTGTTCAAATCGTGGATGTTTTACATCATGAGTCCAGAATACCTATGGTGTCTTCAAATAACAGCCTAGATGAAATTCCTAATATTCTTTCCCTGGCCCTTTATTCTAAATACACTGAAAACTATAAAATGCTGTGAAACTAATGCATTGAGCTCCTATTTAGGTAACACTGTGGGATAAAGCACTGGACTTCAAAGTCCGTTTGAACCACTAGTTTGTCAGTTCAAACTCACCAGCCACTCCTCGGAAGCCCTATACAGGGTTGCTATGAGTTGGAACTGACTTTGTGGCACTTTAACAACAACAACATATACATTACTTCATTTAATGCCTACTGCCACCTTGTAAGGTGTTATTGTCGTTAAGTGCTGCTGAGTTGGTCCCAATTATAGTGAATCTCTATACAACAGAGCAGTACATTGCCCAGTCTTGTGCCATCTTAACAATCATCGCTATGTTTGAATGTTGCAGCCACTGTTTCAATACATCTTATTGAGAGTCTTCCTCTTTTTAACAGACCCTCTACTTTACCAAACATGATGTCCTTCTCCAAGGACTATTTCCTCCTGATAAACTGTCTAAAGTGTGTGAGGTGAATTGGCTTCATCCTCTCTTATAAAGAGAATTCTGGCTGTACATCTATTGAAACAGATTTGCTCATTTTGGCAATCCCTAATATATTTAATATCCTTTGTCAACACCATAATTCAAATGCATAAACATTTCTGTGGTCTTTCTTATTCATTGTCCAGTTTTGGTATGCAAATGAGATAACTGAGAATGTCATGGCTTGGATCAGGCATACCTTAGTCCTCAAACTGACATCTCTTCTCTTTAATACACTTCAAATATCTTTTGTAGCATTTTACCAATATTGCTTCCATGGGCATTGATTGCGGATCCAAGTAAAATGAAATCCTTGACAGTTTCAGTATTTTTTCCATTTATCATGATGCTGCTTATGGGTCCAACTGTGAGGGATTTTGCTTTCTCTATATATTGAGTTGTAATCCGTACTGAAGGCTGTATTCTTTGATCTTCATCGGTGAATGCTTCAAGTTCTGTTTGCTTTCAGCAAGCAAAGTTATGTCATCTGCATATAATCCAGCCTCTCAGATTATTTGCTTAGCATACAGACTGAATAAGTATGGTGAAAGGTACAATACTAACACACATCTTTCCTGATCGTAAACCATGCAGTACTTCCTTGTTGTGTTCGAATGACTATTTAGTGGTCTATGTACAGGCTCCATGTGAGCACACATAAGTGTTTTGGGATTTCCATTCTTTGTAATGTTATTCATAGTTTATTATGTGGCAGGAGCCATAATAATTAAGGAATTAAAATGAAGAAATTGAGACATATTAATCGAGGAATTGAAATAAAGAAATGAGACATGGGGAAACCTGCGCATGAAGAATTCATTGTTTTAGCAAAGCAATAATGGAGTATTTTCCTTGGATAGCAGAGCTACAAGGAAGAAATATTCTATGCACAGGCCCCTAGTTAATTTTTCTCTTGTTGAATCATTCTCTGATTTATTCATGATTTTATTAGTATCCCTTTACTTTAGATTTTGACTCTCCTACACTTTAGTATATTTTTATTAAAAATTAGAAGCCATATATTAGCTACATTTTATTCTACCATAGGTAATTTTAATACTTATATTAACAATGTTCTGAAGACTGCTAGGAGACAGGATTTGTCAATTGAATTACTACCAGTTTAGGCTTAGTGATTATAAACATTCTTCCTTGTAGCCTTAGTTTAAGGCAATAAAAAATCCCTAAAAGCAACTAGGCCATAAATAAGGGCTGTGGGTACAAGAATTCCTAAAAACAATTAGACTATAGATAAGGGCTATGAGAATCTACAGTTACATAAATAAGATGTCTGATCAGTAAAATAGGGAAGTTGTTTTTCATAGCCTCAGTTTTTTAAATGTTCTGATAGGTGATGTTTTTGTAGGCTATAAACAGATAGTGTATGGAAGAAGTTAATGGAGAGTTAATTGCACCTAACAACTAAAATTAACAAGACTTAACAGACAAAGGTTAAGAAACATATGTGAAGATTAACTTGTTTCTCAGAGAAAAGAATAGATTTACATAGGAACAAATGTTTAACTAAAAGGTTTCAAGGCACCAGAATGTCTCCTATGCCTTGAGATAATGTCTCTTTGCTGTAAATTCTCATCTTTGTTGTAAATCTAAGGGTCGTAAACCATGAAGAATGTGCCCCAGAATAGATTGTATTTTGAGACCATTGATTACTATGAAAGCAATGTTTTTTGTAATGGTATATAAGGGGGTTGTAAGATAGAATGAAAAAAGTAATGTAGAGAAGGAGGGAGTAATGTAGAGAAGGAAAAAGAATAGAGGAAGTAGTGGAGAGAAGGAAAAAGTAGAGGAAAAGAGAATGTGGTTGAATGGAGTAGAGAATGTAGTGGAGAATGGGGGTAAAGAGTGAAAGGGAGTAGTGTGAAGACGGAAGGAGAAGAAGGATAATAAAGCATGTAAGATAGAATAAGTAAGTAGAGGTGGGTAGAGGAGAAGAAGAAGGAATAAGAGAAAGGATAAAGCACGTAAAAAGAAGCAGAAAAAGAGATGAGCAGGAGAGCAAGGGAGTAAAGAATGAGCAGGACAGTAAAGAATGAGAGAAGAATAAAGCATGTAATAAGAAGATTTTGAATTCATCATGACTTATCAACTATGTGTAATTCTTTCCGCTGACGCACGCATCAACCTTCGGGAAACCCTGGAATAAATTTGCCGGGGCTGGCTCTCGGCAATTATGATCCACCTAGTCCAATGTCTTTGCATAGCCAATAAAACATAGATAGGCATCTTTCTGATATTTTCTGCTTTCACCTAGGATCCATCTGACATCAGCAATGATATTCCTCAGTCCATGCCCTCTTCTGAATCCAGCTTAAATTTCTGCCAGTTACCTGTTGATATATTGCTGCAACTGTTTTTGAATTATCTACAGTCAAATTGTACTTGCATGTGATAGTCATAATATTGCATGATAAGTTTTGCATTGTTTGATCACCTTTCTTTAGATTGGGCACAAATGTGGATTTCTTCTAGTCAGTTGGCCAGGTTGTTGTCTTCCAAATTTCTTGGCACAGATGAGTGAATGCTTCCAGCACCTCACCCATTTGTTGTGAGTAGGTAATGATACTACAGTTGTTAAGTGCTGTCAAGTCAGATGACTCATAGTAACCTTGTGTAGGGTTTTCAAGGAGCAGCTGGTGAGACTGAGCCACCAACCTCATTGTTTAAACTGACCTAGCAGTCCAGTGCTTTATCCCTCAGAACCAAATCAGGAATACGGATGAAAAACTGAGCCCCAGAGATCAAAGTCATCACTAGTGACTTTTTGATCCAACTGACCCAAAGTCTTTCCATCAACAGCACTGGTAAGATTCCTGACTAAAAAAGTGTTCAGTGCCAAAAAGAGATATAGGATGCTACGGAAGGTTAGGAAAAGCTTTCCTAGTGTTTTCCCAAGGAAGGTGCTCTTCAAACCCATGTCAGTAATTAGAGGAAAGACCCAAATAAGTGGGCCAAATATAGTCAAGAGAATATGTCAGGATGTTACCAAATAAATTCATCTGAAGTGTAGTAACATAACTAACTCTTCACCATGTGAAAGAAAATAAAAACACAACTGCTGTTTGAAGATGGCAACATCAGAATTGTCTAGGCCTAAGAACCTGAACCTTAAGGAGCTCTGGTAGCGTAGTGGTTACGAATCGGGCTGCGAACCGCAAGGTCAGCAGTTCGAAACTACC